GCCTATGCGTGAGCAAGAAAGAATTTTTGTAGGATTTTTTCGAAAGGAGTTGCAATTCTTTTAAAAATTTGTTAAGGTTTTTAAAGCCATGGTTTTTTGCAGTTTTTCGGCTTGGAACTTCGCGTAGATTAAAGATGATGTAGTTGTTTGAGCAGTCTTGTAAATTTGGGTTTGCTCTATCTAATGATCTATCAAACCTTATTGAGAATACAGGAAAATCCCGATTTATTGCAGTCTGTACCCATTTTGGTCCAGGAATTATGCATCAATTTAATGCATCAATTGGCAAATTTAATGCTGTTAACGCCAAGGACCGATGGAAAGAGCTCGAGATACTGGGTTATTTCAATACCCATTTTTGAAGTTCATGTTTAATTTGCCATAACTCTTTTTAGATCTGATGATCGCGGATGAAATAAAGTGTTTCAAAATCTACAAATCTTTGGCAATTCTGTGCATAGAAATCTTCGTATTAATAACGAAGAAGATTTTCAGACGAAAATCTCAAACGTCCTCTTTTAGATATCTTTACTTTGAGAAGCAATTACTTTATCTTGAATGTATTAGAATCGCACAAGTACCGCTCTTTATCTAACCAATAGTCGGTGAGCAGTACTGCAAGCCATGAATTCCACCGAACTTCTCATGAGCTTTTTTTGCGAAAAAAATCGGGGGACAATCTTTTTTCGCTTTTCCTGAAGTGGCAAACAACGCACTTCTGTGAAGTATTTGACTTTGTTCCCAGTTGACAATTTATGACCTTTTTTTGTTTCATTGTTAATAAATGTTTAGGCCGAATCTTATTATGTAGATGTCTAACATCACTTGATGGTTGTCTAATGGCGTTCAGTTGACCAAAAAATCTTGGGATTCCCAAATTAATCTGGCGATTTAGAAGCATTCGCTTATGACGGAAACAACTGCTTCGGTTGCGGTGTAGACTCTTGAGTTCACACTTTTTTATGTAGGAATAAGGGCTGCTCTGACAACTCATTCTTTCTCTGAGTTTGTCTGCTTGTAGAGCAGTAGAACTTATAGCGATACAAACGTGATTCAACGCCATTAGTAGAATTGGATTGTTCAATCATTACTTATACCTGTCCTCATTCCTCTAATGTAGGGAATACTTAGTCGATGTGGCGTTTCCACATGAGATGTAAACTTTCTTATAGACCATGAAACGCTGATAGGACCTGTTTTCGGTTTCTGCAAAGCTCTTCTAGAAAGGGAACTATAATTTTTTGATGCAAAAATTTGGACGCTTCTTCACCAAAATTCATTCGAAGCTGTGATACTGAGCTCAAATAAGGCCATGACGGAGCGCTTTATGTGGTAAGTGCCTTTCAGTTTGATCTCAGAGACCTCAGCACTTGTTTTTAAGCCATTCCCTTAATTTTTTCCACACAAAACTTTCACTGCTCCACCCTCAGAAACACTTGCAGATATCGAAAGTAGATTTGAAATCAGCCTCACGCTCTACAAGACAATATACATTTCATGTGTGAAAACGCCACTTCCACGAGTCCTTCCCTTGTAAGGATTTGAGATAAAAATTGCACGAAATCGCGATTGTGAATTAGATGCTCTATGCATCAATCCAAGGTACGGCAGCTCATTTAAGTACGCCAGGCATTTAACTAGAAAGAAATTTTCAGCCAAATAATCGATCATAATCTTTAGGAGTGCGGTTTGACAGGAATGCGATCGTTCCTTGATGAGCGTAGAGTTTATTACCTGCAGAGGCTGGAGGAAACTCAGCCGGCGACTGCGGTGCAGGGGCTGCACTGGTGACTTTGCGTCTTGGAATACACGAGGTGGTCCCGGCAAATTTCGTTGCCGACCCCGTGCTCGTGGTCGCTGACGCTGACTCTGTGGCTGTCGTGGTTGTCGTGGTTGTCGTCGCTGCGGGAGTGGTTGTGGTCGCTGCCGTTGTTGTTGTTGTTGTGGTTGTCGTTGGTGCTGCAGTCGTCGTCGTAGTTGTAGTGGTAGTCGTAGTAGTAGTTGTTGTTGTCGTGCCAAGTACGTGGTAAATAGTATCATCAGTCGCCAATTTTCTGAATTATGAAGCTTGTCGCCGAAAATCAAAAATATATGTCAATATTTCCGTTTTTATTTATAAGCTATGCTGCAAATCATCTGTCGCTCTCTATTTCAATTAACATAAGCGGAGCTCATTTGAGGGCGGCGTGTGGTTCTGCAATTGAGCGGCGCCGACATTTTGTATGTGAGGATAATCGTCCACCCAAAACTGAGGTTGGTATATTTTGATGGTGTACAGGGTGTCCCAAAACATTGTATCAAAGTTTGATCGTTAATAACTCTCTTCCCACTGAGTCTTT